TTTCTTCAAATTAATGCGGATATATGAGGGAAAAATCCCGGAATTCGAGCAGCCACGTTCTGCGCAATGTGCTCGGCAGGATTCACTTCGAATGTTGCGAATAGACGCATCTCTCTTCGCCTTTTTAGACGCAGCTTTAATTGCAAAGGATCATCGCGAGAAGTTTGAAGTCTTCCTTCGAGAATCGGGGGATCAATCCTGCAGCGTTTTCACAATGGCTCCCAATCTCTACGTGGACATCGATGACTTCTTGCCGGTACCGCTGGCCACGTGCATGATTAGTCTGGATCCTTAGAATCACACGTTGGGTACGTCGGGTGGACCCCGAAGGGCCATCTCTTCGCCCTGATTAGTGGCTGAGAGTTTTCTGAAACAGAAAACAAAGGACTTACTATACGCATTGTCCTTCATCGTTCAAATTAAAGCGATAATTTTAAAAACAATAAAAGAAGTGTTAAATTCTTTTTTAATAATTTTACGCATTAAATATTTTATGAATTCTTCAGATTTTTGTAAAATTTTTAACACTTTTATAGTTAATAGTAAAAAATGAATGTTCTGTTGTTTAATGTTTTTACTTCTGTTATTTTAGTTAATATTATTTCTTTTTATTTATGTGCCTTATATGTACTGGTATATATGTTATATATATGGAAGTTATACGTATAAATAAAGGAAATGAATGTAAAAAACGATATGTACAATAAAAATAACTAATTACTAAATTTTATAAACATTTATTGTAGAAGATTTTAAATATGTCATTTTTATTCTATCGAATTTCTATATTAAGAATCTAAAGCGTTACTGAACACTTCTGCATTACTACAGTAGTGTAGTAATACTGTAGTACAGTAGTGCCTCAAAATACTCCTAGTGCTCAGTAGTACTTTTCTACAAGGGTGGTAAAATGTGACATAGCATTTTTAATTGGCTATAGCAGCCAATTTTTGGTTGCATTAGCCTATCAGCAATGTCAATATAGGATTTGGATAGACTAACGCAACCAAAAATTAACTACTGCAATCAATTAAAAATGCTGTGCCATATTCAGCCAATCTTTTCTTTTATTGTACTTTTTACAACACTTAAATATAACGCATAATGTTGTTAAGGATCCACAATTAATCGCCATTATCTGATACATATCTAAAGTTTCGTATAATTCCCAAGAGAAATTAAAAATTCAAAATAATACATTTCGATTATCACTTCCTCCTTTCTTTTATTTTTACGCGTCGGTGAAGATTTGCTTACGTTGCATTGCTACTCGTGCAGCCAATAAAGCACATAATACGTGTACTTTAGGATAATCTGCCCGTTCATATAAATCAAATCGCAACGTCGAATTAGCGTTCAGACAAAGTTCTCCCTTAAGCTCTCAAAATGTATGAATGTTAATATGAATTAATGCGACGCTGAGGACGCGGGACATCATTCGTTCGTCGAAATTAATTCCAAACGTACATATTCATACGAATGTATTGCCGAGACGGTTATCGGTGTATGCTCGTTAATCCTGCGGTACACCGAGCGTGTTTACATTACGCGACGCGGTGAGGTGCCTAGCACGTGGCGTATGTGTTTATTTTTTGTAGCGTACGGCATGCTTACTGTCAGCTGCGAATGGTTTTGATTTTAGAGGCGTCTTTTTTTTTATTCCTACACTCGACACTGTAACTTTCTTGCTTTCTCGCTAAAAATCAAATATACACAGCCCTGGCCAAAAATACTATATATAAATCTGATTAGATGCACTCAAGGCTCACTGGTGCATATTAAAACTGTTGTACACAAATTGCTATAAATTAAGATAATGTGTTTAATATAAATATAAAAATGGGTTAAAAAGTCGTCTAAAATTTTCAGTACATTTTATTGTGTTGTTAAGTAAAATATATATTTTATAATTTGAAACATGTGCATTGATGTTGAAATCATCGTATTGATATCGATTCGACATCAGTTCGATGACTCATTTCTCGCTGGATAATAATTACTTTTTAAAAATAAAGTTTTTTTAAAAAATATTTTCTTTGTACGAATACTTTTTTCACTCACTGTATGTCATTTACGTAACGAGATTCCAGAAGGCTCAGCAACGGCCTTGCCTAATTTATGGAAGAATTTAGAGCAGAATTCTATTTATAATTTTATATTCCAATGTACATATACAATAGCTGCCAAAAGTTTCCAGTCATGAATAATTTTGTTGCATAAATAGCTCAGATATAAAGAATCTTTACAAAAAAAAAAGTATACAAGTATCTAATATTGTATATTCTATTTAGTATTTAAAATTGTGTTCTTAAGTTGATTATAACAAGAATTTTATAAATTTACAATACGAATCAGACTGACAAAAATTATCGTAAAATTATATGTTGGTCGGAAACTTTTCCCTGTTATTGTATAAGTATATTTTATCATAATTTACATATACATGTATAATATTAGCTGTTAAACTTAATTCCTGCCGTTTTTCGTCTCCAAAATTGATTTGTTTCGAAGGGAAGATGAATGAGTACCTTAATCAAAGTAATTTCCTCCATTTTCTACTTTTATATATATATATATATATATTTATTTCATTCTAATTCCTCATTTTCGAACATTTCCATTTATCGCATGGCACGTATAATTATAATTAGAATTGCATTTCGAATCTTGAATTGTGGATCGTCTAAAATGAAGGAATCTTTCCGGATTGATTTATTTGCCCGAATTAATTTAAAAAATAATTTCAAAGGAGCGTAATATTCCGCGTATGTAGACTTTCCGGTCCACTGGGCACAATAAATACTTCGCAACATTTGATTAATCAAGCGGAAGAAAGAACTTTATTAATTGTCCAATCAAAAAATGCTTCAAAGCATTTGCAGTATAAAGAGAACCATAGCTTTTAAACCCAGTCTACAATTGCGTAAGTGTAATTGTAACTTATAAATTATAGTTGTAAGAATTGATACAAGAAGAATATTCGACTGTAATTGATCAATTCTTCAAATACAGTCACTTACAATTACACACAGAAAAATACGTAAAGTAATAATTACTTGTTTTATGTATTTCAAAGATTCATATATATTCGCAAATCTATCACAAGTTTATCACATGCATCAAATTTATTCAAAATATATTCTAAATCCTAGTAAGAGTTTAATACTTCAATCAAGATTATTAAATTAAAACAAATTCGATTTGTTTATTATATATATTATATAAAATTGTTTCTTTGATTTGATTTTATATAAATGTTTAAAAGGAAACAAATTTTTATTTTAAATATATAATAATGAGTATTTATAAACTTTGTAACAAGTAGGTATATTTTAAGGTTATTTTTTTATCGAAAAAATGTTTTTTGTTAAAGAGATAACCGTTATTTAAAAGAAAGAAGTTAAATTGAGTAATTACTTTTCTTGGCAACAGAATGATATTTTTTACGTCAGATGTGATGTTTATGATGGGTGACGTTGACTAGCACGCGGCGTGTTTACTTTTTTTACAACATACTGCGAGTGATTATCAGAGTGCCCTGATCTTATCTGTTATCATTCGTACAATGAAACTCTCTCGAGCAAGTAACGTCACGACTTCGCGTATCATCGTCTTGCTACGTCTTGATCTCAACGCGAGGATCACGACAAACTTCAAAAAACGTCAAAAAGTTTTAAAAAAAATTCGAAAAAAAACATAGAAAAGCTTCCCATATGAAAAACGTTAAATATTGTTAAAAATGATTAGATGAAAGATAAATAAAGAGAAAAAAAGGAGTGATGACCAAGACAAAGAAATCATTCAATAAAATTTCGAGGAGTGCTCAGCATTTAGGAGAAAAAGCAGTTTTGCAATTGTTGTAAGATTCTTTAACAATAATTCATTCCCTTAATTGTTCATTGAATGTAAATATATAAACCAATATGAAATATATAAATAAATATATTAAGGAGGTTGTACGGCAAATGCAATATGTTAGGAATTACTTGAAAAAATTACAGACTATTCTAAATTGCATTTAATAATAATACAAAAAAAATAGAGACAGTTGATCACGTGGATCAAAAGTTATTTAAATAAATAATAATATTTTTTTAGTTTGTACTCTAATGTAAATATATGAAAATGTATTATAAAATAATGATAAAAATCTCAATTTTTTTATATAAATACTTTATGAATTCAACAATATTTATGTAAAGTTACTTT